GCTCAGCAGGCTGTGTGTATTTGAATGTCATCATGGCCCGAAGAAACATTCATATCCTCTCTGTAGTAAGCCCCATGCAACACATCACAAAACTGGAAAGAAAAATGTGTGCATGCCTTTATTGAAAAAAATTGAATTAGGAAATAAATGATTGTTGTGGATGGAAGGCAATAGTTCCAGTGAATTCCTGTGAGAGTATTGGGTAAATTTCCCTTTTCTGTTTTTAAAATATTTATGGAAGTATAATAAAGCTTTTCAGGCAAAGTGAGTTACTCACAGGAATAGAACCTTTTCATCCTAGAAAAATGTAGATGGTCAAGCGTCAGCTGGTTTCTCACTGGATTGAACACATACGCAACCTCTCTGATCAGGTTCTTCATGGAAGAGATAATAATGGGATACACAAGCTCTTAAGTTCTTTGGAATGGTTCAGTGAGAAAAGAGATTATGTGTGAATCATTATTCCTTTTCTATGTGATCATATTAATGGAACAAATAAGTGCCTCTCACAGGTAAGCACTGTAGCAGACAGCAGGACAGAGTTGCCTCTGCTGTGTTAAGAGCCAGGGAGAGAAATAAAGCTTGGGAGGGCCTGGACCAGTGGGGGCTGGCTGCCATCTTACACGGGGTGGGAGGGGGAGCTGGGAGACTAAGTCCATGGAAAGGTGGCATGTGGCAGAAATCCCTATTCCCTGCTTGCCATGAGAGATGAACTGATGCTGGGGCAGTAGGGTAGGCAGAGACAAGAAGAGGGAAAAGGCTCCAACATGGTGCAAGCTTGGATTGCCTGAGATGGAGCTGGTCTCATTTTAGTCCTGGAGGCCTCTGGAGGTAATGTTTAATGGCCATGTGAGCAGCAGTGTTAGGTACTGGCAGTTTTCAATGAAGGAGAGCCAAGATCTGAATAACTCAATGGCAGAGAGCAGCCAGGGTTGCAGGTCTGAAAGAAGATGACAGGTTTTCTCTAAGATGGTCCCTGAGGCTGGTGGGTGTGTGTGAGACGTGGTTGGATTCTCTGTGTATGATGACCCCTGGGATTGCTGGTGGGGTACGGGGGGGCGTGGGGATTGTTATATATTAGCAAGGAGGGTGAGTGAGGGCTGACCCCAGGTTTTTAGCTTAAGCAACTGGTAGTAGGGAGTTGCTGCAAAGATGAGATAGTCATCAGGAAAGGCAGATGTTGTGGAAACTTCTAGATTATTCTGGAGCTGATAAGGGGAGTGGTGTTTGTTGTATAACCACGTGGACTAGCAGAATGGCCAGTTGGATATTCTAGGCTGGAGATAAGATCCGGGAAGTATACACTTAATGAATATTTGAGAGAATTCAATACCAATATCATCTATTTTTATATAAGAAATGATTTCTAATACATCCTTTGAACAGTGTTAGTTTGGTTTATTAATTTGTTTGGTCCAGGCTGCGGCAGATGAGAAGGTAGAAAAGGTAAGGGAGGAGGGGTCCCTTGTTTCCAAAGACACAGACTGATTTCCATGAGCAAAGTCAGATGAGAAACAAAACTAGAAACAAACTGACTTCGTCTGTCATTTGTCTCAAAGTCAGATTGACCTACTATCTAAAAAACAATGTTTGAATTAAATATTTTCTCAGAAAGGACATTTGTCCAAAACCCCAAATAAAATTTAAATATAGATCTCTATCAATAATCAAGTCTTTTCCTGCAACACCACAGGGACAAATGCACTATAATACTCCAAATCAAAATAGCAATTAGAAAAATAATACAACTCGGGTACAGAGCATCCTTGACTATACCTGAGCTTCAGCACTCAGATGATGTAGCCTAGGAAACCAAAATCCCGCACAAATACTGTGAAATACAGTCTTCTAAAATGCTGTGCTCAAAAGCCACCTGCATGCTTAGATATCGAGGACTTTCTAAGCTCTTCACAAAGAAAAGCAAATACAAATAAGTAAACAAACCCCAAAGGAACACAATATAACCACTTTCCATTCATACACATCTAAAACCCAAACAAACAAAACTAGAAAACACACGGAATCTCAGGAGCAAAAACTGTTCAGCTTTATTAAACCAAAACTTGAACATGGCAACAAAAGTAAATACTTATAAAAAGTAATAAAAACAAAGACATCAAAGTTAGAACCTTCTATGCTGAAAATTACAGGATCAGAAAAATGTAAAAGAAGCCAAGCACTGGTGGCGCTCACCTGTAATCCTAACTACTCCGGAGGCTGAGATCTGAGGATCTCCATTCAAAGCCAGCCTGGGCAGGAAAGTCTGTGAGACTCTGACCACCAGAAAACTGGAAGTGGCACTGTGGCTCAAGTGGTGGAGTGCTAAAGGAACAGCATTCAGGGCCAGAGTTCAAGCCCTGTGACTCACTATCTCTCTGTCTCTCTGTCTCTGTCTCTGTCTCTCTCTCACACACATACGTAAAAGAGATATAAAAGACTGAGAAAATATTTGTAAATCATGTATCTGGGAAAAGCTCTGTATATAGAGTAGATGGAAGAAATTTTACAACAGAATAATAAAAGGCAAATGACTCAAGCTAAAAATTTAGTATTTCTCCAAAGACGATACCCAAGCAGCCAATAAGTAATAAGCAATGATAAAAATACCCATAAAAAAGCAGCCAGTGGAACTGAACACTTTCTCTTTGCCATAGTGCAGTCACATTTGCACACACACCACATACTCCTGGCCCTCTTAGGTCAAGACTGTAATAACCCCTCATTGTAGAAACTGCTACTCAGAGAACCCAGTCACTTTGCTTGACTTCTCTCACCTAGGAAGAAGCAGAGCTGAGATTTCCATATCCACACTAACCTCAAGTTGATGAATATACAGAGCTAGCTTAGGATTCCAGTATCAGTACATTTTGTATCATCGACAAATGAGTTCATAATTAAATACACAGTTGGCATTTGGCAGGGAGTTTGCTTGTCACCAAAATGTCCTATTCTTTTTATTAGACAATCATACTTGACAAAATGTCACCTGTATCTTTAAAGGCCACATGGTTGACAAACATGGTCCCATGAGCCTCCAGGGAGGGTGCCCAAATCTGATGAGGATTATTGCTTGCTGGGATAAAAAAAAAATCAGAAATATGGGCTGGGAAGTTGGCTTAGTGGTAGAGTGGTTGCCTTGCATGCATGAGGCCCAGGGTTCGATTCCTCAGTACCACATAAGCAGAAAAAGCCAGAAGTAGTGCTGTGGTTCAAGTGGTAGAGCACTGGCCTTGAGCTGAAGAGCTGAGGGACAGCACCCAGGCCCAGAGTTCAGGCCCCACGACCAACCAAAAAAAAAAAGAAAGAAAGAAAAAAAATCAGAAATGTGGCAAGTCTTCAAGGAAACAAAGGAATAAGGACTTAGGAAGGGTTACACTTAGATCATTGGAGAGTTAGCACTAAACCAAACCATTTTTTAAAGGCTTAAATTTATAGACAGTCTCAGAGAAAAAAATCAGACAGATGCTTCCAGACTGAACATTTTTGAAATTATTTATAAAACAATGTAATAAATTATTCTTAAAGGTACTGAAAGATTAAATGCATTCATGAATACTTATTTGCACCCTGACAGCATTCTACATTAATGTATTATCAACAGTCATAAAGAAGGGAAAATGCGTGAAAAACAAATTGTTAGCCAGCAGAATGCCCATGGCTCACACCTGTAATCTTGGCTATTTAGGAGGCTGAGAGCTGAGGATTGAGTTCAAAGCCTCCAGGATCAGCAAACTCCACGAGACTCTTTATCTCCAATTATCCACTAAAAAGCCAGAAGTGGAAGTGTGGTTCAAGTGTTAGAGTACTAGCCTTGAGCAATAAAAGCTTAGGGACAGGCCCTGAGTTCAAGTCCCAGGACTGGCTCAATCAGTCAATCAATTGTTAGCCTAAACATCAATTCTTCTGTATACTTTGGCAATTCAAATTGAAAATAATAAAATTATATATTCCAATCTTTCACAAAAAATCCTAGAACTTATCTACTCGGGTCATGGTTAAATCACATTCCACAGCAGTTTTCATTGCTTAATTCTAGCAAATGCATACCTTGGAGGGGGTCAGGAATCACAAAACTTAAGGGTAAGTGGGAGGTGAGCTCTGTTCTAAAGTTTTCACCTGAATACTGAGCTTCCTTATTTCCTCCCACTCCTGGGACTCTCCAGTGTACTGGGATGCAGAGATAACCTAAGGAGGCTGATAGTGTCCTTGTCTGGCTCAAATGATGCTAGGATGCTCTCTTCTATTTCTTTTATGGGGTCTTTGAACTCAGGGCCTTGTACTTGCTAGGCTGGAACTTTACCACTTGAACCACATCCCCAGCCCTTTTTGCTTTAGGGTCTCATGCTTTTTGCCCAGGTTGGCATGAGACTGAAATCTTCCTTCCTACTCCTCCCACATGGATGGCACCTGGCCTTTCTTTTTTTCACATCTGCCATGGACCTCTGTATTAATCATATGTGGTATGTATCTGCTAGAGGATGAGCAGGGAAGGGGAAGAACGAACAGCTGCCACCTGCTTCCTCTCCCTTTGTCTCTGCAAGTGAAGACAAGAGCATGAGCTTCGCAGGAGCAGAGCCCCTCACAGGGAGCCCACCCAAGTGTGTGCAAGCAGCAACACAGGGCCCTGTCTATGAGAAAGCTGTGGAGACAGCAGCAGTAACAGCACAGGGTTCCAGGGTTCCAAGTCCAGCCCTGCAGCTGGGGACTGGATCTAGAGAAGCCTGAAGACTGCTCCTTGCACAGTGTAATATTTTTGAGGGGGTGGGTTGTTTTGTTTATTTGTTGTTTTTGAGAGAGCATCTTCCCTTCTGCCTCAGCCTCCCTGGGTGACAACATGCATCGCTATATCTGGTTCCAAGGGATAGTCTTCATATGACCCAAATTCTGCAGTGTCTCACAAGTCTTAGCACTACCCTCTTACCCAGCCCGTGGCAGTCTTGTATTTAAGAACAGGAGTTTACAAGTTTGTTTGGTGCTTGTTGTTTAATCGAGGTACTTACAGCTGCATGACCAAATACAGGTGATTGGGACTTTCATAAATGTCTTCCAGGGCCACGATGTTCTCATGCTTAATCCTAGAAGAGAGCAAAAAAAGCACATACACGGTGGTCAGTACAATGAGACCTGGAGACATCAAAACAGATGTCACTGCAGTAAGGAGTGACAAGACAGAATTTGATTCAAGATTCTCCACAATCTTGTTCTCAAGCCTTTTCTAGACTCACACCTCAATACGAATTCATCTCTGGGCTTCTTCATTCCAAAGGCTCTATGGCCTACAATTTAGCAACAGGGAGCCAAACCCTTTCAATATCCTGCCATTTTCAGGGCCCGATGCTAATTGATTGCTCTTCTGTATCTGCCAACGGCCACCACAGACTCTTCTGAACAGCCACCTGTGAGCGCCATACCCATCTGGGTGTGCATCCAAGGACCTGTGCATTCAAGGGAACACTTTTGTGGTCATGTGCACGAATCCAGTATAGGCTATTTCCCAGGCAAACTGCAATGTGGATCTCCACAGTTTCTCCTCAGTTTTTCCTGGAAGACATGCAACGCTCTCAGGTCTCAACAGGGTTATACAAAATCAGAATCTCTGAGGGTGAAACCTGGGAATCTGTCAGGGTTTTTTTTTTTTTTTTTTTGCGGGGGGGCGGGGGCAGGGGAGGGCAGGTGTGGTTATGGTGGTTATGGGAATTGAACTTAGGACCTCATTCTTCTAGCTCTACTATTCATGCCATACCTCTAATCACCACCACCCCTTTTTTTGCATTCATTTTGTTCAAGGTAGGGTTTTGCCGTATACCTGGGCCAGCCTGGGCTGTGATCCTCCTATTTGTGTTTCCTTGGCTGTGATCCTCCTATTTTACTTTGGCATGACACTGGGGATGATAGACACATGTCCCTGCTTCAAGTTATTGTCCAGCCCATAGCTGGGATATGGATGCCATTTTGCCCAGCTATTGGTTGAGATGCAGTCTCAACCAATGCCTCAGCTGGTCTTAAAAGCACAATCCCTTGGTCTCCATCTTCCAAATAGGTAGGGTTACAGACTTAAGCCACTGCTCCCAGCTGGAAATCTGTTGTCATAAGACCTCAGATAAACTGTATGCAGAGAGGAATGCCTGAGAGAATCTGTGTTAGAAGGTGCTCCTCCAACTTCAGTGTGCAAAGGAATTGCCTGGGGATCAGGTTACAAGGCAGATTCTCATCAGTGGGGCTGGGCTAGCTGGGGCCTGATCACCTGTATTTCTTACCAGCGCCCAAGAGATGCCCAGGCTGCTGGTGGAGGACCACTCTGAATAGTAAAGTTCTGACTCAAGCAGCCCTGGGGAAGGGAAAGAGCATATGTGTAGCCCCTGAAATTATCCATTAAGAGCAATTTCTGCTCAGAACCTAAGATTCGATGTTTATATAATGCATTTGAGAGAAAAATCATTTGGTTACCCAATGAGTTAATTAGCTCTTCCCAAAGCCATTTGTTGATTATCACTGCCGAATGATTTAAAAACAAGTCTGGAACAAGCAGGTTCTTGTGAGCCCCTTGAAAGCAGATATTACATGATTCATTCTGTTTCTCCTTTGTGCCTAGCACAGACCTGCTTAATAAATATTTACTCGATGCATGAGTGATATTTAAAGCTCATTGCCATTCAACAGCAAGAAGCAACATTATGGATTTCCTTGGGGAAAATGAGGGTGGTTTTCCCCAAGTGGGAGATGTTGTACTCTCAAAAAGAAATTGATAAGGTAGAATGAACAAGAGTAATATCTTGGCTTTGAGTTAAAAAGAAGAGAACAAGGTAATTAACTACGAGTAGCACTGCTTTGCTTTGATTTCCCTAGCTCTTATTTGTTAATGGAGTTGTTTGCATGAGCAGAAATAATTACACTAAATTCACATATCGCCTGTTTCCTATGCGGAGCACTTACCTATTCATCAGCAGTGGTTACTGAATGAGCTGAGCCAAATAATATCAGTAATAAACTCTGCCACCAAGGAAACAAAGAGAGCTTGCTTAGAGACTGTCAAGATCTTACACATTTGTGTCCTTTTATTATTATTGAAAATATCTGAAAGTAGATAACCACAGAAAAGCACATACTGTGTGGATTTCCTCTATTTATTTATTTTTTTGGTCCGGTCGTGGGGCCTGAACTCTGGGCCTGGGCGCTGTCCCTCAGCTCTTCAGCTCAAGGCTAGCACTCTACCACTTGAGCCACGGCGCCACTTCCGGCTTTTTTCTTTTTGCTTATGTGGTGCTGAGGAATCGAACCCAGGGCCTCATGCATGCAAGGCAAGCGCTCTACCCACTGAGCCACCTTCCCAGCCCTCCTTTATTTTTTATAAGGAAAATTTCCAAGAATATCAATTTCATGGACAAAAAAATTTCCACTCATCCAAATTGATCTGGAAGCTAAAAGTTGTATGGGAAACTGAAAGGAATTACAATGGCATGTTGCTATACCAAATACAGGAGATATGGATATATTTGAATTCTAGATGAATAAATAATACTTTTTTAGTACAAGTATGTTCCAAATACTGCATTGCTGTTCCTTTAAAATTCAAGTGTTACTGCATACCCTATGCTTTTAGGTCCTAAATCACTCGCCGATACTGGCACCTGCAGTTCTAGCTCTCCTTGGAAGCTGAACCAAGAAGGCTGCTTGAGCCCCAGTGTTCAGTCATCTAGTAGTTAATGCAGATTCAATTATATACAAAGAAGCCACTGAGTACAAGGCATTTGCCTAGCCGAAATGAGGGCCTGGAAAATAGGAAGATCACACATCTCCCCCTGGCATACACACCAGTGGCATTGGGAAGCTAACGTGTATTCAACCTGCCAGGCCTCACACAAGTGATAACTAGATATTGATTTTAATCCATTGGAGCAGTGCAGAGAAGAATTGCAGATGGCAAGGCAATCCCAAACAGCAGTCCTAAAATTACTAGAAGGATGCTACCTTCCTAATGTATCCTGGAGTCAAGGAAATCAAGCAGTCATTCACTGAGGTCTACTATGTGTCCAGTAAAACATAAGAAAAATATAAAACAAAGTTTCATCTTCAAAAATCTTCCAGAGGACCAGGAAACAATTAGAAAAGAATTAAATGCTATACTCCGTGGAATTGACTTTAACGTAAGAGAAAACACCATGGTCCTGTTAGGTCAGAATTCCAGAGAAGACCTGAGGAAAAAGATGAGGGTTGATATGGGAGGAGTAATGGGTGAATAAGCAAGCTTGAAAATATTCAAATAAATCCTACAATGGCCTCTTAAATGTCTTTTATGAAAAGAAGTTTAATTACTTTTGGTGCAAGGCTAGCACTCTACCACCTGAGCCATAGCTCCATTTCTGGCTTTTTGGTGGTTCTAATTGTAGATAAGAGTCTCACAGACTTTCTTGCTCTTGCTGGCTTTGAACCATGATCCTCAGATCTCAGCCTCCTTAGTAGCTAGGATTACAGGCATGACCTTCAGCTGGTATCTGTTGTGATCTGAAGAGTCCCATGTTTATGTCTGGGCCAGCCTGGACGACTTCCCACAAAGACTAGATGACAGGCAGGCATGCAGCACCACACCCATGTGTTACAGTATTGGTATACTGGTTAAGATGGGATCTTGTAAATTTTTTTGACTGGACAGTCCTTAAACCTCAATCATCCAAACCTCTCCCTTCCTAGTAGCTGGGATTATATGCACAAGTCATTACTTCCAGTTGAGTTTTTACCATTTTGATCACTACTATATCTCTTATGTCATGAAAGTGACAGATACCATATTCAATCCATCTGCTGAATGAATGAATGAGCAAATGAATGATATCAGGCTCAGCTGAAGCACTGTGTGGAGTTTGAAACTGTGTAGAACATTCCAAAATAGATCACTTAATGCACCACTCCAGCCATGGAACACTTTCCCAAGGTGGACACGTGAGGCCACCACCAATGACCACACATACTGCCCCCGAGAGGCCGCACAGAACAGCATCACTCAAATGGCTACAAGGTGGACAAGCCAAATGGGGAGAAATGTTGCACTACTGACACCAGTGGAGCTACAATCCTAGGGGGCCTGGGATTTCAGGACCCCCTTGAGGACCTCCGCATACTGAGAGGCTGAGTGAGCCTCAGCCATGTAGCATGGGATACAAGCAGACAGACTCAGCAATCCCAGGATGCTGCGGACAACTGGCTAAGGGTGAGGCTCTAAACACAAATCACACAGCTACTGTTGCACGTGTGTGTGCAGCGCACATGTGCATATGAATATGATGGGTGAGAGTGTTGATTTAAAGGCAGCAGTATTTATTGTTTTGCTATTTCATTCTATTGCTGACCAAAGCTTTTCCTTAAAAATAGTTTATTATGGAAAATTGTCAAGCTACCTTAAAGGAAAGGGTAAGGGAGGTATGTAAACTGACTATTAAAAGTTAAATAAAAATCCTGAATGTGAACAGAAAAAACAACCAAGCTTAAATGTGAAGGGTATGTGTTAGAACTCCATAGTACCCCATCAGAACTCCCCATCAAGGCAACCCACCCTGATCAGCAGCTTTACATGCTGTCTAGCTGCAAATCTGACAGTTTCATCCAGCCCACATTTTACTGTCTTATCCATAAGGAAACAATTAGATGCTTTGCTGAAATGGCATTTCTCAGCTGTGCATACCACATGAGACTATTTAGAAGAGAAATGGGATGTTTGAGAAGATTTGTTCTTAGTAAACTCGTGTGAGCTCCTAGCAACCACTACCGTCTTTACTAAATGATCACAAACCATCTGCTTCATTTGCTATTCCAGAATCTTTCTGTGTACCACAGTCAAGTGTCTTAGTCTATGGAACTCAGGTTTTACAAATTTCACATTTGGAAACTTTGACAACATTCTCTGGCATTGTTCTCTTGAACAACTCAACTGTGATTGTTTTGTGATTAAGTGCAATTTCCTCAGAGCCTTGGGATATAATAAAATGAAACCTTTAGTCATGAACAGATTTTATCATTTTCTTTAGGACCTACTTATATACTCTTTTATCTTATCATTTATCGAGTGTTAACTATATGTCAA